GCCCCCCCCCCCCCCACCACAGAGCAGAGAGATTGGAGAGAAACAAATTTCAAGAGAGAAAGCTGTTTGCTCTTTTATACACTGAGAGCAATGTAATCACACCAGCAGTGGGAAAGGGTTGGGCAAAGGAGCAAGTTGTCAGGCCCAGCCCAAGAACAACAGGGAAACAATCCAGCCAAGTTCAGTGCTTTATTGCTTACACCATATAGACAGAATCTTGCCAGACTAAATCTGTACTATGCTAACCTAATAGATATACTCTGAGAAGGGAAACAATCCAGCCAAGTTCAGTGCTTTATTGCTTACACCATATAGACAGAATCTTGCCAGACTAAATCTGTACTATGCTAACCTAATAGATATACTCTGAGAGAATCTAGGGAATGGCTATCTCTTCTTCTTCCCATGCTCCTGCTCTGGATTATGTTGCCTCTTGTCTCCCCCCTTTCTTTCCTGGAATGCACTCCCTCCTTCCTGAAAACCTGGATCTCTGCTGCATTCCATCACAGTACCATAAGCTGTTTGCCTAGTGCATCTGCAACTCCCAGATCAGGTCTGCTGGCATGATCGCATTGCTCTCAATGTGTAGAAGAGCAAACAGCTTACTTTCTTGAAATCTCTTTCTCTGCAATCTCTCTGCTCTGTTTGAGGGGGGGAAGGGAGAAAAAAGCATAACATTTCTGTAGGCAATCTCTCATTTGCCTGACCTCCCCCCGCTCCTCAGAGCAGAGAGATTAGAGAGGGCTTTCAAGAGAGTAAGCTGTTTGTTCTTCTACACATCAAAAGCAAGGTGATTGCATTGGCAGCAGGAAAGGGTCAGGCAAAGGAGAATGTGGTGGAATGCAGTAGAGAGTAAAGTTCTCAGGAAGGAGGGGACATATTCCAGGAAGGGCAGCAAGACAAGAGACAACACAGTCCAGAGCAGGAGCATGGGAAGTGTAAGAGATTTAGGATAGTCACTCCCTAGAATCTCCCAGGGTGTATCCACTAGTTGCAGTAATACAACTGGCAAGATTTTGTCTATATGGTGTAAGTAATAAAAGAATTGAATTTGGCAGAACTGTTTCCCTGTGGTTCTTGGGCTGGGCCTGACAGAGAGATTACCACCAGAAATCGCTTGCTTTCTCCCCTCCCCCCCAAGTGGAGAGATTGGAGCAAAGGGGTTTCAAGAGAATAAGCTGTTTGTGTAGCACACCCTGGCTCCCAGCCCTGGGCTGTGGTATGATTGCATTGGTTTCAATGTATACAAGAGTAAGCAGGCACTTGAGCATTCCAAAGAGTGGGGGAGTGGCTAGGAGGCAAACAAAAGCCGTAGGTGTGAAACCAAGTAGTCTTGTCTTTTTCCAGCTGGAAAGCATAGTTGTGGTCATGTGATTTCCCACTTAGCATCTGTTTTGCTTAGCAGGGGAGTTGCTGGTCCCAGTTAGGGTTGTTAAGCGAGGACTACCTCTACTATTTTTAAAATAAGATGGAAAGTGCCTGTTGGGGTTCTGCAAATGTTTCAGAGGAGGTTTCTTGCAATCTTTCTCTTTGCTGGGAAAAATGGGAAGCAAAGTGGCTGTGTATGGATATTAAGCAGCTGGGAGTACTGTAATTTACAAATCAGCTGTGCAAAATCTGGCAAAGGAAGAGATGGCTTTAATGATTCCAAGAAAGATGCTTTGCTCCCATGTGTTGAAGGATACATACAACCCTAGTACTTGAATCCTGATGTCTTTTACTTTTAATGTGTTTTGCATTGCTTTATAATTTCAACACAGAAAGTTAATTTCACAAATAATGTGGATTATTTCTCTTTTTAATTTTATTTGGAGGAAGTTTTTTAAAAAGCAAGTGCTAGTATTTCTGGAATATATAGTTGAGTAACTGACTCAAGGACAGTTCAAAGCAATAAAGTCCTATTTTGTCTGAAACCATGAGAGCTTACTGATCAATTAAAAAGTTAATTTTTTATTAAAAGCTAAAGAAAGAAAACGAAGCAATAATTTACTGAAAACTTTCTAGTTCAAACTGAAACTTGACAATTTTGTCACCTTCTGCTTCTCCTATCAAACAGTGACAAATCTCCAAGTTTTTATTTTCAGCTAAACCTTTAATCAATATCTCATTCTTACATTTGCCGTGTCCTGCTATCTCAACCTTTTCCATGTTTTTTTTTCTCTAACCTGTATGACTTCTTTTAATCTCAAAATCATTCTTCTCTTTTAATCTCAAAATCATTTGAAATTTTTGACTTCTTAACTGGATCTCTTAAGGCAAAGGTGCCAGATTATTGTATTGAAAATACATGAGTATTTTGGTTGCACTGATTCAGTGCCCAGACTTTGTTGCAAAGCCCTTCAGAAGTCATTTTGATAATGTATATAGAAAAGATGGCAAAACTTTTATTTTAAAAAAGCATTGATTCTCTTCTCTTGATTTTACTGATTAAATGCCTCTGAACTTTACCCTTAAAGATGAGTAGCTGACTAATCTAAAATCAACTAATGACAGCACTTACAGGACAAGCAATAACCATTTATGATTGTACCTCATAGCTGAACTGAGAGAAGCTGCTATGGTTATTATATGCTTCTTTTATTTCTAGTTCTGAATTTTTGGGAAAAACTTTCTACAATAAGAATTTGAACTCAGACTGTAATCATTTTGCTCTTGGTTTTGTTTTGTTTTTTTATCATTCAATTTAATTGAGTTGGGACAGCACAACTGAAATGCCAGCCTGACTGTAATGGTTACTTAAGATGTTAACATACTTGTATTACTAGCTCCCTTGACAAACCAGCAACATCCATTTATAATGGAATGAGACTAAGCGCTATTAGAGGTGAGGAGGATCTGTTATTAGGTCCTGTAAAGTATTCTTTGCTTAGATTTTTTTCTTGCTCTCCTATTTAATATGCTATTGTGACTAATACAACTTGTCTAAATAAGCAGAACTCATCAAAGATAACAGGTATAGCAACACAAAGCTTAAAAAAATTATTTTAGGGTTTACTACCTTTCTTGTTCTGATTGAATACAACTGCCATTTAAGTAAAAAAATGTTCATTATAGTAGACTTTGTTGCTTTAATTTGGTGACCTCAACTTTCTAAAAATTACCTTTCTGGGATGCTTTTAGAAATGTTATTTGTATAGTTGTGCTATCATTGATCCAACTATCAAATATCATGTCCTTTTTACAAATTTATTCATGTTTACTATTCATATTTACTCTGAAGTGAGGATGAACTCCAATATTCCATGAGTTCCCCAATCCTCTAGAACACATTTTGAAGGCCTGCTGAGGTGGGGGGTGGGGTCTCATCATCAGAAGTACAACTGTTAGAAACAAGGTTGTCAGTGGAAAAACGGCACTGGATTTCATTCATTGTCTCACTGCGTTAATGGGATTTAATTTCTGGTACTGTCTTTGGGATTATAGCCTTTGCTGCTTCACTGTTACATAAGTATCCCTAAAATTCTTTGAAATACTCATTCTGTAGTGTTTCTTGACCTAAATGTTATACATGTTTTGGGTTTCTTAATGAAGTACTTGTTTCTATAGAAGTTGTTTTCTGTAATAATTCTTTTCTGTGTAAAATGCCTAATTTACTTGCTCTCGGGGCAGTGATTTTTCATTTTTATTTTAATGTTTTTATTGTTTCTTCCACTGTCATCTAAATAGTGTAATAGTCATCAGTGCAGAGGTCTGATTCATAAAACATTTCTCAGCTTTTTGTTGTATGAAAATGCCCAAATTAGGTCTCCATGTGGAGCAACTGTGTCATGTGTTATTTATGTCAAAAGTGATAAAGAATCTAATCTGCCATCACAATGACAGGAATAACCAGCTTGTTGTTAACTATCTCACAATGTTTTCCCAAATCATAATGAGTTATAGTAATCATAATCAACAGTGACTTCAGTGGGACTCTAACAGCAGAGCATTCCCCGGTGGTAAGAGAGTATTTTTCTTGCACTCAAGCTCTGAGTTTGTGTTGTAATAAGCACATGGGTACCAAAGCTACTTGACTGGTGTGGTGTCAAATTTATTTGTATATTTTTATTTTATATAAGCTAAAAGGCTTATTCTAGTTAAAATATGAGCATTTCTATTCCATTTACAGCTTAAAGAATGGGTGTTTTACTTGTCTGGTATTGGTCAGATACCTCAACCAATGGAACCAGCTAGTGTCAGTTCTTGCCTTGGTCACCATTCTTCTATCATCATAAACTTCAGGAACCCTGCATTTGAAGAAGTAGTGGTAGATGTCATTTTAAGAGGTATGGCAAATTCCTTTTATCACTAGGAAATTGGATATTTAATCCATCTAAATAAAGCTTAACAATTCACTTTTCTACTATACTCCTTGCAAAGGTTTCTTTTTAAAACTATAATTATATTACATAAAATTAAATTCTCCCAACACTGAAGACTGGGGTTCATAGTAAGCCTTCTACCACAGTAACTAGGATGTCATATAGGGCTTTATTCTGCTAACCACTACCTAATACTAGAGAAGGTAGGCATGATGCTGATAGATGAGAACAAATTAGACTGTACTCTTCTGTATCAGTTTGTTTTTCTTGTGTAACAAGAACCTTTTAACTCTGTAATAATGCATGCTGCATGATCATTGAAGCTGACAATTTTTAAGATTTCAGTCAATCTCTGACTTTAGGAATCTCTACTTAGAAGGTACATAGAACAAAATGCTAGATATAAACTTTATTGTCTCTTTTCGTCTCTTTTCAAGAAGAACCAATACAAAGAAGTTCTGAATCCATCCATGTACAACTATATAGCTGTAATTGTGCAATGCTCATAAAATAGCAATAGAACATTAATTAATATACTTTATATTTATCTATAGACATCTTGATTTACATATAAGCAGGTCCTCACTGGGGAGAATGCTTTAAAAAGTGAAGCTAACATTTATGTAAATCAAGACAGAGCTTTGCTGAACTAAAAGATTAATGCCTCTGTGCAATTACTAATAAGTTGTAGGTAGTAATTATTTCATTTTTTGTATCAAGCTGCATCTGCTATGTATGCTTTTAAAACTTTAAACCAAGCTCCATAAAAATATTTGATATTGCACTTAACTGGTGTATTTTATTGTCACAGTACAATAGTTGTTTCATTTTTTTGGATTACTACTGCTAAGAGCATTTACGTGACAAAATTGTAGATAGGGTACCTCCATTACTTCATTTCCATTGTGAAATTGCCATTTTTCTACTCCTTTGCTTCTCAGGGATCCTATTATTTAGATAAAATATTCAGCAGAACTAGTATATGCTGGATACAATCTAATCCAAATTCATATTGTTGTTTATAATTATAGTATTTTAAACTGCAAAGATTATTCAATACATTTATTAAGAACAAATTATTTTCACTTTTATTTACATGTGATAATGAAAACATTGAGTTTGAGAACAACTATAATTCTGATTTTAAATAGGTTTGACTTAGGATGGTAACAGGTTCAGGTAGATGTTCAGACAAATCCCATCACTCAGGTAGTTTATGGGCAGTTTGGTAACACAATAATAGTATGATTCCCTCTCTAAGCTGCTCCTAATGGGTTTGGTCATGCTACCTTCACCTCCGGCACTGAGTAAGTATGGTGATCGGTGAAGTTAAAGTGATCTGTATCCTGAGACAGATCACTCTCCAACTGCCTTCTGGCTCGCTGGTGTCACCCTCACTCATTCAATTGGCCCATCCCAGGTGACTGATAGACCCAATGGGGTTCCAACTAGCAATGGAATCTCTGGTTACTGTCTGTCATTAGAGCAGTAAGATGTGGTCTCTAATTAGGTTGCTATGCTCAATCACCATATCAGTACAGTTGCTTAAGGAATCCTTCTATTACAATATCCATCAATTTGTTTTCAGCTTTGCTGTGTTGATGATGTAACTTTTGATTGGTTGCAGACTATAACAGTAAAATTATTATCATTCAAATCATGCTAGTCTTTTAGGATTGTGTTTTAGAATCTTCTAATTTTTTGTAATTTAACAGTAACATAGAAGAGAACAATTAAACAAGATAACCTTTGCACACTGCCAGCCAGGTGTACATGGATTACTATTGTGATATAAGTTAAGTGTGTACCAGAACAGTTGGAAAAAATTACTCATAGCAGTTGGACTTTATTTAGTAATCTGCTAGATGGTTTGATAGCACAGATGTAACATCGTTTTATTCTTAACAGCCTATTTTTCCACTGATGGTAATATTTTTTCTGCATATGTCACTTACCATAGCCAGTGCAAAGCTTTTGAAATTGGTTTTCCATTATACTTTTTCTGCATTCTCTGTAAATGCCATCTTTACTAATTAGGTATCTATATTTTAATGTGCACTAACTATCTCAACATAAATTTTTAAAAACAGGTGAGATGAGTTAACAGAAACAATTTGTAACTGTTAAATCATAAAAAGCAAATCCGTATAGGTTATCATAAATCTTTGTAATCATGGAAAAAAAGAGAAAATGTGATTGGTTTGCTTCATAATTACCTTATTTAAGTGTTCATCATAGAGGGCTTCTTACTATCCATTTACTCTTCTTGTTGCAACTTGTATAGCTTTAGTATAGAAATGTGTATCTCTTCCTCATTGCCTAGTGCTGGAGTGGACAATCTATGGACCAAAAAGCTTACTTTGTTTGTTTAACATTAATACACTGGTACAGGATATTCAGTTGATGCTGATTAATATAATAAGATGTCAACAACTTTCATGTGATAACAGCAATTTTTACATAATAGCGATACTGCTAAAAACTGCAGTTACCTAATTTGGAATAGAAATACTTACTTCATATTGCGAGGGGTGAGGCTGACAAGGCAGGAACCAGTTATTCCCAGGCTAGAGATCCCTTATCTAAACATGTCTTAGCAACCTTCCAAGACCATTAAAAGACAGGCCAAGTATCCATTAATTGAAGGGTGAAAGGAGGAATCTGAGAGTTTAAGCTCTACATAATTAAACCTAGTCAGACACATCTCTGCCTTCTTTGTTTGGGAGTGGGCAAGACACGATTGTATGTATGGCTTCATTCTTGTCTGCAGTAAAATTTGTATTCTAGCTGAGTTGTATCTGAAAGTCTGCTGCCATATTTAGCCAAGAGCTGAATTCAAAGTTAAGCATCTGGAGACTCGTGATTTACAGCTGAATGCTTTGTGTAAACCCTGATACATACTGCTCTAAGTCAGTTTCAACCGTTGAGCATAGGGAATCAATGTTTTCTTTTTGTATGTATTTCTCATATGTATTTCTTAATTAAAAGGGGTTCATATTCATATGTGCACACACAGATGTATATTAAAAAACACACATACATGATATATATACTAACATACTATTGTCAGAGTTATCTGTTTGTATTTTAGAATTGTGGTTGTTCTCTTTATTTTTTAAGGTTTCATTTGAAAAGTTATTTTCTATAATAATGTCTAAACTTTAAATTTTAGCCATCAATGTCCTTGTCTGTTTCAAATATTATTATGTCTAAACTTCCTCTTCTTTCTCTCTTCACTGCCTCTACCTCGAGCTTTGCAGTCACTCTGAAATTCTAGACAATGTCATTTAAATTGACCAGGTTTCTTCTTCAAAGACACTGACTCTGCAGAAGAATGGAGCTCCCCTTCAAAATACGAGGTCTTTCCAGTATGGCAAGCTAAACACATCTCCGGGAGAGCAGAGACAATGACCACAGCAAAGAACCAGTAAGTAGACCAGTTCTTCAGAAACTCTTCAGACAAGGAGAGGACAGGAGATCACCCACATTTGCTTCAGATGGCTGCTCCTTGTGAGGAGACCCCAGGACAGCAGTCTCCCATGGGTTTGAGCGCTGGGAGATGAAGGGATCAGTCATCAAGCTCACAACCACAGCAGAGCCTTTTAAAGGACACTTTTTTTTTTTTAATCCGCTTTCAATCGTGACCGATTCTATGGAGACTGCCTAGACGAGTCCTTGCAGTTTTCCTGGCAAGGTTTTCTTGGAAGTGGTTTGCCATTGCCTCCTTCCTAGGGTGGAACCCAGCTGGCAGTCGCAGGAAATCAAGCCTCTTCTGTTGCGTTGCATCCAGCAACTGGCAACCGATTCCCATTTTCCTGTGCAAGGAGCTACCAGCGTTTTTCCTCCCACTGGGGTGAGAGTACCTATTTATCTACTCGCTTATGCTTTCAAACTGCTAGGTGGGCAGGAACTAGGGACGAATGACGGGAGCTCACCCCGCCGTGTGGAGCTTGGGCTCAAACCGCTAAAGTGTTGACCATTTCTGGCCAGCAACTTCCAGTGTCATTAAGCTGCTGCGCCACCGCATCCCTTTTAAAGGACACTACGTTTCACTAACCTCACTTTCTAATAACTTTTGGAAATTGCTTATCTAACCATCTTAAAGCTATTAGAGATCTTTGGAACAACAAGTTTGAAAAGCCACCTGGTGAATCTATCTTCATTTCTGAACAAAAGAAAAAGTAACTATAAGTTTATGAACTCAAAGAATTTGAAATAAACAGCAAAGAGCTAAATACAATTTTGAATTAAGGAAGTTATAAACAAATTAAGGGTCCACACAAATTTGGAACCTTGGAACTTTTACTATAAGATTTTAGAAGAAACTATATAAAATAAACAGCTTTTTGTGGGAACCAAAATTATTTTGTCTACTGTAAGTCATAACAGAGACTTTATTATTTAAATTGGACACTAGAGGGGACTAAAGATTCCAGGCAAAAAGAAAAAAAAGTGTAAACCTGCCTTTGGTTTTGATCAGTATTGGGATTTACAAAATGACACAAAATGCTATGAGTTTTGAAATATGAAAGGAAATCTTCAAAGAATGGGGCCAGAAATTAGAAGCCACAATATCAACAATATCAGTAACAACATCTGCTTGTATGGATAGACTATGTTCAAAAGATGTTAATGAAGGAATGAGAGATGTGAAACAAATCTTGCTTGATGCAGAAATAGTAGGATCAAAAATACTGGATAAAAAGAAAGACACAGAAGGCATTTAAAGTAGGCAAAGAGAATGACCTGGATAAGGACTCTTTACTGGATATACAAAAGAAGCTGGCTGAAGTTTTAAAAATTAAAGGAGAAATACAAATAATAAACTAAGAGAATGACCTGGATAAGGACTCTTTACTGGATATACAAAAGAAGCTGGCTGAAGTTTTAAAAATTAAAGGAGAAATACAAATAATAAACTAAGAGAATGACCTGGATAAGGACTCTTTACTGGATATACAAAAGAAGCTGGCTGAAGTTTTAAAAATTAAAGGAGAAATACAAATAATAAACTAAGAGAATGACCTGGATGATAGCTTTTTACTGGATTTACAAAAGAGGTTTGCTAAAGCATCAAAGAAGCCTTTGGAATGGGAAAAAGAAAAATGGAAGAGAGACCAAATCCTATGACAATATCTGAATGAATTAAAGATCATGATTGTCAGAAGCAAAAGGAAGGACTATAAAACTGGTTTATTTGATTAAAGTTAAATAAGACATGTTTTTATAAAGTTCTGGCATCCCTTCATGGACTTTTTGCTGACAACAGGATTGAAAAGTTGATGTCTTATGGATTTGCTTATAGATAAGGGGTGGATTATGGGAAGAAGAGATATCTGTTTGTAACCTTATTGAGGGTGAAGAGCTACCAAACTTGTTTATATTTATTGTGACGAAGATTGGAAGTCACTTCTTTATATATTTCTTTTCTTTTTTTAATCTCACTCTTTCCTTTTTCTTTTTCCTTTTTTGCA